GAAATAGGCAGAGAGGGAATGCTTCTCCTCTCCTTTATGGACAGAAGGGCAAAATACCCCATGTGTACATTGGTTACTTAATACAAAACTTTTGTGCCCCAGGAGACAGGTCAGGGTCACTATTTCCTTTTACTAAAGGAAATTAAGACTTTATTAAGACTTTAGATAAACTTGAGTCTTTTCTCCTTGTAGGGAAGTGTGAGAATAGATATCTATTGCTTTTGACTGTCAGCTGCTGCTGTTGGTTCACTACTGAGATAACAGTTTACTCTTATTCAAGCTGTTAAAGTACTAGATCACAGAGTTTAAGTAACAAATAGATGATCCAGAGAATGACATTGCTTCTCACTGACTACAGGGTTACACTTCAGTCAAGGGTCTTCTCCAAGTGAGAAACAGTTCAAATATTTGGAGGATAGAGAAGGAACGAATGCAAAAGTAGTGTGTGTATGTGGGTTTAATAGACTAGTTCTCTTACTTTTCAGTGGAACTTTTACTATTACACTGGCTTTTACGCAGTTGCCTAATGTGCAAAAATAATTCCAATATTTGCATTGACACAAATGACACAGGATTATGAAACATTTTACAGAAATCTCTGTGCTTACGTGTATTTATATATGTGTTAAATGCATGTGTTGTAATTTGTGTGAACTACTCACCCAGTTGAGCAATAATGACTAAATTAGGCAATGAAATGAATGCATTCTATCATATTTAACGTGAAGGTGCTTGATGTCTCTTGGCTGGTTTTCCTCTATTTCTTAATTACGTCCATGTGTTTTCATGTAAAGATGAGCTGAACATACAGATGTCCAAAAACTTCTGTAATGCCATCTAATGGAGTCAACATTGTTTTCCATACATTTTAAAAAATAATTTGCATCATTTTAAACATTTATGCCTTTTGAAACTGCCATGTTTAACTGTAGAATGGAAAAGATAGTTTTTGTGACTTCTCACTTGAGGATCTCAGCTGGGTGGAATTATTTACTAGAGCTTATCAAATGACTATAGCCTTTGTTTCCTTTCTTGGCTTGTCCCCTTCAGTCTTCTCTGAATTTCTGTTACAAGTGTTTACCTGATGACAGTGAGAATTACATCTTGGCATGAAGAGCCCAATGGATGCTGTCCCAGAGTTGAGGGGTATTGCACTCTGTAACTGCAGAATTATGGCTAAATCCTAGCCAATCCTGACCCTTTGCAGAACTTCATCACTGGGATCAGAGTTCTTTATATTTTGTGCAGTCAGATAGTGTGCATTTTGTACCCCTGGCAAACTGCCAATCTCTAAGCCAAATTCAGCCCACAGAGTTTTCATATATTTTTTTAATGCCTCAGTGGGTGCTGAGTGCTACAATTCTCATATTTGTTTCTTAAGCTGCCCTATCTGGGTACATCAACATTATCTGTCTGGCCCTGAAATCCTGAGTGCTTGAGTCTCCTGCAGTGCTAGAGGGTGTGTTGGAGAAGGCTGCGGCAATAACAGGTTATAAACCCTACCTGCAAAATTCTTATATCAGAAATTTCAGAGGGCTTTCAGGGTATCCATCGTTTAAAAAGTACTCCCTGGCTATGCTATAGTTCAGGCAGGGTTGAGAACCATTGTGATAAGAGGAACCATTTGCCTCATTAGATTCACTAACTAGAAAATATACACTAACTCAAAGCTTAGACTGTTGCTCTAGTTCTCAAAGGAAAAAAAACCCAAAACTCTCAATAAATAAACAAACAAAACCACAAAACCTGTATTGAGTGATTACTACGTGCTAAGCATGTCATGTATGTTATGCTATCCAGTCTCCACACTAATGGAACATTTTCTGGTTCTCATCTTCTCAGTTTCCTGACCTTGATCTCTATGTCATGTCCCTCTCTTACTCTTTGCATATACTAAGGCCCTCACTCTGCCTCTTTACCCTGGTGTATTTGCTTCATAAGAATTTATTTTTCAACTGAAATTATTTTATTTGTTCATTTTTTTGTTGTCTTGCTCCTGTTTTGGAATGTAAGCTCCATGAGGACAGGTCTTTGTTTTGTTCATTTCGATATTCCATGGACCTAGAATCATGGCTGCTCCATTATCAGAACTGAGTAGATATTTGTTAAATTAATAAATGTCTGCTCATTTATCATTCTTCTTGACTTCCTATTGCATCTTCTCTGTTTCCTTTCCTTTTGATTAGAAAATTCTAAGACTTATTTGAGGTCAATTTTTTTAGTATCTTTGAAGAAAAAACACTGTACAACATTTTTATATTTCCAAAATAGTATCTCAGTATTGCTGTAGTTACAATCACCCAACCAGGATCATCTTGTTATATAGGGGTGATTTTAAGAAGGAACAAATGCAGGATAAAATTTATTCTTTATTTTTAATCTTTCAATCATACTCATTTAATTGTAGTTTTACATACCTCACAAAGGTATCGTGATAATTAATGTCTGTTTAGTCATTTCAAAATAATAAGGCACCCTGAACCCCTAAGGCAAAAAGAGTTCTATGAATGTACATAATTAGTATTATAGTTTTCTCATTTGTAGAACACAGAGAGAAAATACCTATTCACAGTCACAAGGGTATTATTGAGATTAATTAATTAATGTTTATAAAGCAGCCAGAATGTGGGGAAAAATACATTTTCTTTGCTATTTAAAGTGCATTTCAAAGGTAAAGAGGCAAATTATGTTTGCAGTTTAGAGTTATTTACTTATTTATCTTGAATGTTCAGATAAATTGCAGTTTTTACACTTGTTCTCCTGAATCACGTACCAGGTCCTAATACCCTTTTCACTTCTTCTGTACTTGAGCAGACCCTATAGCCCTTTGTTTTTTCAAAGTGGAAGTAACTGCTCAATGCATAACATATTATTTCTTCTTTTCAAATGTAGCTTATTCTGAAAAACATACAGGTTATCTTAGTCCTGTTTTATTTTTTCTTTGTCAACATGGTATGCTTTATTTTGCCCTTTGAATATGATTTTATGTAAAGCTATTGAATTTGACATTTCTTTATCTAGGCAGATGTGGGTGTGATGCTACAGTTTTGGTTCTTTACCATGAGTATGACACTTGACTTCAGATTGCTGCCTTTCGATTGAGTGGTTATTAAGATGTAGGCTCTGAGAGAATGAGACACAGACTATAGTTATGTTGCTTTCCTGCCATATTTATTTATTTTGTTTTATGCTCTTTGAAGTCTTTGAAATTGAAACTAAACGTTCATGATTTTTTTAATGGGTTCCAAATGTGAATTTTGGCTCTAAACTTTGTCAATGTACTCTACTTCCCTATTCAAATTTGCCTCTTCATTACCTCCTTATCGCTGTGTTTTCAGTAGATTACAGCAGGCTCTTCTCAGTTGATATTGACCCTTTTGTCCTAATTTAGTGCATCTTCCACAGCCAGTGACTGTGTAAAGGCACAGGGATTACATGATTAGCTGTGGTATCTTTATACCAGTATCTAGTTAGTTAACTGGTACCAAAAGGCCAGGGCACAGCCAGGAGCTCTAGTTAAATAAGCATCAAGCTGCCATCTGATTATTTTTGCGTGATCCCTTGCTTGGCAAAAAGCTTTCCAGAAAAAAGTAAAATTATGCTTGTTATTCTTGTGCAGAGAGGATGATTAATCTGTTTTGTATTTCCCTCCCAGACCCCCAGTTGTCCCTTCCTCTATGACAAGGAGCCCTGAGATTTTTTGGGTTTTCCGTTTAGGTTCCATTTGGGTTTTCCTATTAACAAATAGGAAACCATTTGCTAATAATGGAGAAGAAATTTAGGGAAAGATAATACATCTTGATGTGGAAAGATCAGGTATAAAACTGAATTGTAAAGTTATATAAAAGGCGTAGGTCCATGGTGTATCGAAGAAACACAAGGTTTGTCTGAAAGTTTAGTTAAGGTTATGCCCTTCTATAGTAATAAAGATTAAGGGAACATCACTCAGCTTCCCTCCTTCTACCCTCAATATACAAAAATTAAATTTGCTTCTTCTCTAGTGCCTTATCAAATAAATATAGATATTCTGATACGAAGTTAGAACATCTGGCTAATCTCATCATTGTGATTATTACATGATGTATAAAACATAGTTCTGTAAATCAGCAGAAAATAAAGTTCACTAACTGGTTAACTAATGGGTTAATATAATATATTTGGTTTATATTCTTGTAAGGACCCATGAAGAGATGAGATGACATCTTTGGGGGTTAGAGTTGGATTTGAATTCTTAGAGATGATGAAATTTTTAGGTTTTCTTTTCCTCCCTCCAAACTGACAAAATATTTCACAAGTTAAGGAAAACATTGAAAGTGTAATGAAAACACAATGCGCAAAACTGCCTAAATGCATCTCGTTTATTTACATTTCTAGATTTTGCAAAGCTAAATTATTGGATTTCTTCATTGTTTTGACAGAGCCATGCTGAAAAGTAACTTAATACTTCTTGTAAGGTGCTTTTAGCTAGAGCCGGAACTACAAAGACTACTGGGTTAGAAATAGGCTTCATTCAACACAGGGTTTGCCAGGAATGTGCTTTGCTCTCTTGACCTCAAGACTGATTAAAGATTAATTTGTTATCTTTAACTTTTAAAATAGTTTAACAGAAGATGGAAATGTATCACTATATACCCTTAGATAAATCTTTACATTTTTACAAATAGATAAATTGTTGTATAACTATTGTCTTGTTCTGTGGCATGTACAGTTGTTTGCTTGGCTAGTTGGGGTGTTATGAACTTATTTATATTCAGTAAAATAATATCACCCTCTTCCATAATGAAAGGTACTCTGCCTTGACTTGTTATTGACTTTTTTAAAAATGTAAGATAGAAAATATGTGTACATAACAATATACAACTTTGATGATGCTGTCAGAGATGTATGTGCCTAAAAAACTCCAATCACACTATGTGAAGATGAGTATTTGAAGTATAACCCAGCTTTTGGTTGAAGACCCTATGTCTGCTTTTACTCTTTTTTTTTTTTTTTTTTCTCTCACAGTTTCAGTCCCTTTAATTAGGTGCTCTGAAGAGAGGGCAGAATGGCAGACAAGGGGTGGAGAAGGTGGTGCTTCTTAAGCCCCTTTCAGTAACCGGTCAGTCCTCATCCTCTGGCAGCTGGATCTTGCTGGGGTCGAAGCAGTTGGAGTCCATGATGGGGAGGCCATTGGCCTCTCGGTATTTTACAAGCCTCTCAGCTTCCCGGCGGGCCCACTCCTGCATCCTGTAGTCAGGCAGATAAGCCACAAAGGTGCTGCCAAGGACCAAGATGATGGAGAAGCCAAAGAAGAAGACGACCCGCATGTTCCAGAGGTCCACAGCAGGGTCCCTGTCATAACCGTGGGAGTCTGGGTTCTTCTCGTAGAGGTTTTCGTCCTCGGGATCTGGGTCCTCCTGCCAGCGTAAAGTCGGTTCCGGCGGCCGCTTTCCCGCCACAGCGGACGGGGCGATCACAGCCCTGGAGGAGCTGGATTCCCAGCGAACACGGGCAGCCGGGAGCCTTCGCCTCGCCGCCACCGCCAAAAGGCGGCGGCCGCACAAACCTAACATCCCGGCCACCATGACAGATCGTTCTGCAGTTTATCGGGGGCGGGGACGGAAATGTGACTGCGCAGCTGCAGCTAGTCCGAGCGTGAGAATTGTCGCTCCGCCCCTACCGCAATAGGTCCCGAGTCGAGATTTTGTTTTCAAAAGGGCGAGGCGTCCTCTTTCCCTCCCTCTGTCACGGCCTCACGGAAGCAACCATCTTCTTATCCTCTCGATCAGGCTATGGAATTTCTGACCGAAAGGCTGTGGAATTTCCTTGAAAATAAAGCGGTAGCACTCGTGTGAATTCCGTTCCCAACCAATCGCACGGAGAGCTCCCTTGCCCTCTGGCGAGAAGGGCGGAGCTTCCGTTGCTCTTTCATCTTAGAAGGAAGCCAACCTTTTTTTTTTTTTTTGCAGTACGCGGGCCTCTCACTGTTGTGGCCTACTCCCGTTGCGGAGCACAGGCTCGGGACGCGCAGGCTCAGCGGCCATGGCTCACGGGCTCCGCAGCTCCGCAGCATGTGGCATCTTCCCGGACTGGGGCACGAACCCCCCGTCCCCTGCATCGGCAGGCGGACTCCCAACCACTGCACCACCAGGGAAGCTGCTTTTACTCTTTGAGTCGCAAACCATATTTACTGAAATAGAGTTGCCCCATGATTTGATTAACATAGATCATGTACTACAATAGCTAGCACAGTGCTGGATGGAATGAAATCTTTTGTTGAATAAATGGGTTAAAGACATAATAGTCAATTTAGAAGGCATATTGAAAGTTTGTCATGAGGGGAAGAAAGCATCAAAATTGAAGTCACTGAGCAATTTTAGCAAATGTTGAAGGGTTCAGGGTACTGAAGTCTCATCGCAGGTTTCACTGAGTTCTCTTTATTAACTGGACCAGATGTGGTACATTTTTTATGCCCAGGCAGAAGTTTCTGTATTTAGCTGGGGGAATAATCCTTTAACTCTGAATTGCAAAATGATTAGTCTCTTGTTTGCCATGAACCTTATGGTCTGTACCCCTTGTTCAAGCAATTAATCATGCCTTGCAGTGTTTCATGGGTGTTCCCTTGCATAGTTATTTAGCTCTTCCATTGTTTATGGCCCCATGTAGAACATATCCACAAGTAAATTGTTGAGGCAGGGAACAAGTTGTTTGTGTGTGTGTGTGTGTGTGTGCGTGGTGTGGTGTGGGTATCTGTCCATGATTGTATGTTCTGAATTCATTAAATGTCAAAAATATTGCAGGTTTGATAGTATTTCGATGAATTCCAGAAGAATCAGTACTATAAAATAGGTTAGGACTGTATAATATTCATTAAAAGAGTTACCGTTGTATAATTATGAGAAAGGACATAGCATGTAAGAGTTGACCCCTAAAAAAAAATAAACAGTTGGAAGCATGAAGGGAACCTGTGGAAGGAACTGTGAGTTGGTGGATATTGATGGGAGAGGGGAGGGGCTAGCTCAGTACTCGGCAGGACCTTATCAAAGCACATTGTATTTTAAGTACCTAAAGTTTTCAAAGCCTTGGAATATATTAGTATATTAAGGAACTCAGCTTATCTAGGTTTATCTGTGATCAATCTGATTTCCTTCATCTGTTAAGTTGATTAAGAGAAATGTGTATTATTTGGTGATAAATGAAGAACACAGCACAGCAGAGGCATATTGCATTTGTAGATTTAAAACGCATTAAACATTTGCTTTAGACAACACCATGAAGAAAAATGACTTTTCATAGATTTCCATGAGCAAAAGTGTCTGGAAAGGTAGCCTAAAAAACGAAAGGAAGTCAATGTACACATGAATGGAAGAAAATTATTGCTATGGCAACTGGTGTGTGGCATTAGAAGCAAACTTATACTGTGCTTAAAAAGATGATCCTATAAATGAATGGATAAACTTTTAAAATGTTTGCCCTTTCTTAACTCAAATAATTCAGAAGTAGCTCCCTGAACAAAATTGCAATCTGAGAATTGTTGGAAAACCATAGTTGTTAATATCCATTTTATCTCTGGAATAGGGCTTAAATGTATTTTTTAAACCTAGCTAGGACAGAGATATGTCCTAGGGACATATCAAGAAGGGAATACATCTTCTGGGTTTTTATAAATTGGTGATCAACTTGTATGTCAATTTCTTATACTTAAGCTGAAACTTCATGTGCTTTCTGATAACTTTTATACCTTGTACTTAAGTATTTGTCCCTACCTATACTGGAAAAGAAAAGACAGATTAACTTGATTAATAACCAAATCAGTAGTTCACAATCACTTTTAGAGTGTTTGTGATATGAAGGTTAGATAATAGATAAATAGAGGGTAGATGATATGTATACATGAATAAATACCCTTGTTGCTCTCTAAAGTAGACTAAAAAAGAAATGTTAGAGCCTTTTGCTAAGTTCTTTGAATATGAGTTCAGGTTCTCTTTTGAAAGGCTGACAAGTTCTTCCTTTAACTTCCTGAGGGGGAATAAACAATGAGAGATCCTGGGAGTTTGATTTTAACCAGGGGAGTCTCAACAGAACTTGGCATCTTAGGCGCAGCAAAATATAGCAACGAAGCACCATGGATTATGACATTATTGGGAGGTATTTTTCACCCAAATCTATTTTACTAATGAAAGGACAAAGAGATGAGAGTAAGAAAAATGCTGTTATAAAGTGCATACATTCTCAATATTACCTCAAATTGAGGTGAGCCAAATACAGAGATCTGTCTTGGGAACCAAGTGGAACAGAGGGTCCAACCCAGACCAACTTGCACAGGCAGCACTACTGATTACCTAGATTACAGGGCTCCCTTCTCATGCTCAGGATATTGTAATACAAATGTTTGAGAGGTTTGTGTTGTAGAAAACAAATGATCACAAAAGGATGAACTAGGTCTTAAGTAGAGAGATCATAATGAGCCTGTGAGATTGGAATCTTCTTGAGTAATGGAGACTTATAGTATCTTCTGCTGCTGAGATTATTGTCATTGTAAGAAAACTGTTTTCATTAACCCATATGACCTCATTTGTTCTGTCTGGTGGCCAATAATACATGGACAGAACACCAGGACTAGAATAGAAAACAGCTTACAATATTGGTGTGGTGGCTTCTAGGACTGGCTGGAGTTGCTATCTATTGTGGCAGTTTGTCGTGTTTCATTTACTTTCTTTGCACTTTGCTGCCACCAAAGAAAGTTAAGTCAGCAGCTGGGGTTGGGATTGGGTAGGGAGGAAAGGGAGAGTCAACAGACCCTACAAAATATTACTGAGTCTTGTTGCCCAATTGTGACTTAAGAAAGATTTTAAGTAAATTCTTTTAAAATGCAATTATTTGAGAAAACTAAAGTATCCTAACTATGTCTATAGCTCTCACCAGGAACCCTGGTGTGAAATGCCTTCTAGAGATGGTGCTGGGGGTTAACAGGGAACTCATTAATTGATTTAAAGAAACAAAACCTAGAAGATGTTTTTAGACCAGTATTTAAGGAGGTGAGAAGGATCTGAAATGCAAAAGGTAGATGAAAAGCCACAGAGATGGCTTCAGGACACTGCTTTCTACCAGCAGCCAGTGTTAGAACAGCAACCACATGGAATAGCTGACTTAGCAACAGCTGCTGAGAGAAGTCAACCATGGACGCCGTTGCTGAAAGCTGCCACTTAGAGACCATGTGGAAGCCGAGCAAAGTTAGAGGTACAAACTTTGAGATCAGCCGTCACAAAGGCCCTGCTGGAAAATGCTGGCCACCAGGTCTGATTCCAGAAGCATTAGATGGAGTGTACCTGCCAATGGGACCTTGTCATGCTAAGTGAAACCTCTGACATATTTCCTTCACAACTGGAGTGGCCCTTGAGGAAAAACGGGGTCTTTGACATCCCTAAAAACTAGGGACTGCTCTCTTTTACTCTATTCAAGGGAGGAGGCTGTATGACAATTTTACACATTCCTACAGGAGCCAAGTGGGATTTCCTGACAATTGTGGACACTTGGGCCCCAGTTTCCTGGTAGAGCGTTGTAGCCTTGTAAAGGGTCAAGATCCTAGAAATCTCCCCATTTGTTCGGTTCCTAATATTGATACTCTAGCTTATTATAAAATTGATCAATATGGCATGCTTCATCTGACCTGATTTCTTTTCCTCTTCTCCATTATGTGGTTCATTAAAAACAATAATCTGTCAAAAATGTGCATAAGTAAAGAATAGTTGTTTTGTACCTTGTTGAAATATTTCTCTATAAAATGTAACAACATGCAGAAAAATAATAATTTGTAAATCATTAATATCCCCATGCAACAATGTGTACCCAGTGGGTACTCTAAAGAATGCTGATAATTTATTTAGAATCAAGGACATGTTGTCAGTTTTATTATTATTTACTTCAGTTTTATATCCACTTAACATGTGTCCTGGTAGACATCGGTGAGATATAGTGTACATAGAAACAAAAAATATAATATAGGAAAATATAAAGTATACTTTAGTTCATGTTTTGAGTTTTAGAGTTTGCTTTAGGGTTTATTAGCTTTGGAGTACTTACTGTAGGAAAGTGCAGTTGCAAAAGAACATTGTGTTGAAATAAGAGTTGTGAACATCTACTACATCTCAGAAAATTTCCTATATAGGGTAAAAAATTTCACAAGTTTTCTGAGTGTTTTTAGTTTTTGTAATGTTTTGGACCCTTTCCATAAAAAATTCTCATGAAATGCAGTTGGTACTCTTCTGCCCTTCACTTAGACCTGGACAACCAGGACCCTGCCTTGGGCTGCATTCTTTCCAGATCCTTGGCTGACCCTCCTCCCACCACATCTCTCCCAAAGGGACATGCCCAACTGGAGCCCATGTCCCTCCCTGTATCCCCCACATCCCAATCCCATAATGTTGGTACCAGGGAGCTAGAAATTCTCTGCCCCAAATATACCCCTAACCTGCTTCCTGGCCTTGCACAGGTCTCTTTCTGAATCTGTCTTGGCGGATGGAGCCAGGGGCAGGGAGGAGCCAGTAGGGCTCAGATGCAGCTGGTGGTCTCCACACACGCACCAGGCTTCTGATTTTCCTCATGGAGCCTGGTTTAGGAAGAGAATGGGGTGAGGCTGAGGGC